AGGTCACAGTAATATATTGAGACTATTAAACCGGCCAGCAACTCAACAGGGTCCTTCTTAATCCCATTTTAGGAAGAAATGGTCAACTACTGGGTACTGGTCAACTACTGGTGCACTGACTTATGACAATTAGATTTTTTGTGGAATTTTCGTAAGCTTCTCTGATTTTTGCAGTTTGTATTTTTTAAATTAAAATCGTTGTGAGAGCTACCAGAATTGCCCCCGCGAGCTACCGGTAGCTCGCGATCGACAGGTTGGCGACCACTGCTCTAGAGAACTATGGTATAAGAAATATTCCTCTAAATCTATTTAAAACCTACTTAAATGGAAGAACACAAATGGTTAGAGTGAGTAATACATATAGTAATTTCTTACCGGTAAGATATGGAGTTCCCCAAATATAACAATATACATAATTTTTCTTTGTATAAAAACAAAATATTTTCTTTACAGGCAAAATTATAAGACGTACACTTCATTTATTTTTAAATTAGAATACTATTTTTCTAAAGACTTTATGCTATAAACTACTGACAAAATTTATTATAATAACTATTTCACAATATCTGGACTTTGTAAAGGAATTTGATATCCATCCTTAGCTTCTCCTTGCGTAAAAGTGGCAACATTTTTCATAATCTGCCGACCCTGAATATGGATAATCTTTTCTTTTAAACCAACTAGTTTTTTAGGAGGCATAGTTTTAGATTAAATAAAACACACAACACTCACTTATGAACGTATTAAAAAATTCGAAAATTAAAAATTTTTATCAAATATACGATTCCAAAAACAACCTTAACGAAAAAGACAACCTCAAATGCCAAACGCTAACAAATAGATGGCATTTATTTTGAACAATTTTAAAAGGAATTAAAAAGAAAACATTTGTCCGTCATTCAATATTAAATCTGAAAATTTGCTGCTTTTTTGTTTTAATAAATATCTAGTAGTATCTATTAGGATTCCCCATCTTTTTTTTTTAAACGTCTGTGTTATCGTTACACAAATTTAAAGCTCTCAATATTCTCAAGACACATAATATTACTAAGTGTTCCCTATTGTTTTCGTGAGAGGTCGGTTTGATCTCAATGTTACATGTTGCGCAGTAACAAAATAATGGCCTTTCCTGTCTCTATTCTAGATCTACTAACATCGATACAGTAGTTTTTTTAATGATTTCAAAATACCTAAAATACCTTCCCTAAATTAGTCACCAGCTCTATTGTACTTCTCTGTAAAATTACAAGTTTTAAAAATTTAGTTTTACAAAAGATTGATGAATAAACAGTGTCCAGACAGGTAAAATGTTAAATAAATCACCAGTTTTTCCAAGAACAACATAGCGGGCAGGCTTTATGAATTATGTAGGGTCATTTTTATGGTCTCAAATAAAATATAACCAGTTTAACAATATTAGAATGGGTTAGTGGTTCATTAAGCTTCCAGAACTAATTGTCAAGTCTAAGTAATAAAATTTCTTTTTTTGGGTTAAATTATCTGATTCCTAGTAAATATCCTTTCCTCGAAATAAAAAAATAGGATCATTAGTCATCAAATAGTCAAAGATTCTTGCTAATAAATTGGTTGTTATATCAGCAAATAAGAAACTAATAGAAAATATAACAATAGAAAGAATAAATGGAAGGATTATTTGGCAAACATAACGACACAAAAGTGTACAAGGAAGAAGAATATGAAGAAAATTCAGACGATAATAAAAAGGTGGAAGAAGAATTTGAGGAAATCAACAATAGATGAAATGATAGAAACATCATATGAAAACTACTTTTTGAAAATGGCGCAATAATTTACTGTTATGATAATAATTTTACAACTAATTTTATAGAAGTTATTGAAACTATTAATGTAAATAAATGTTTCTTATTGCAACACAATTATAAGTATCTATATAAAAAATTAATTTCATTCGAATTAAAATTGAAGTAAGCCTTTAATCAATATTAGATGTAGAAATTTTTAATTTGCATAATGCCTACACCCAAAAATGGCTACCCCGAATTTCTATTAAATTTTAATTTGTATAATCATCAATAACTTCCAAAATTCATAAGGTTATTGAGCAATGATTAACAATGGACAGTTCAATTCAAATCACTGTCCGTATTTTTAAATCAATCAAATAGTTGGTTTGAAATAGGTGCAAGCATCGACCTTGAGAATATTTTTTTTGGTTGTGATACCAAAGGTATGGCGTTGATAGATTATAAGAGTTCAGGCTAAAAAACGTTCATAAACTTAATAGAAGAGAATTACAACCTGACATTTTTTGATCACGCTTGATCGCTTCGAATAGGTAAATAAATTAATAAAAATCAATTGCATGTTACGGCAGGGTCGGCCCTAGATATTTTGGCGCTCCGGGCAAAACCTTAATTTTGCGCCACCCCCCCTCCCCGTTTTTTATAAGTAAATCTCATGCGACCATGTCAGAAAGTCAAGAAAACAGTGAAAAAAAAATTAAAAAAACGTTTTATTAAAAACTCAATCATCAGATAACAAGATAAACAATTTAGCACAAGTTCAAAAATGTTTGGAGAACTTGACCCCAAACAAGGTTTCGAAAAAAAGATCATAGTGACCATAGTTTTTGAAATATCAAAACAAAATTTTGGGGGAAGCTTCATAAAGGATAACAGTTCTTTAAAATTTCAATTTGAAAGGAATAAAATGATTGGTTTGACTTTATAATTTATTATTATCAATTGCATTCAAAGCCAATTTCTATTAATTAAAAATACTCGTACACATTAGCAAATATTGTGTAATTGTGGCACATCAATTACTTTTTAATAATAATTAGTGTCCCGAATATTATTTTAATACATTTATAGCTATAAATTATTTATTAATGTCCATTATTATAATTAATTCCAACTAGCTTTTACAAAGACCCAAATATGTATAATTAAATCCGTCAGTATTATAGAATAGTATCGATGTGACATCGTTGCCACAAACTGGATTCATAATTGAAATAATTTTATTACTTTCAACTCAGCAACATGGAAATCTAATATCGTCTGCAATAATTTAGATCATCAATGAAGAGAGAATTAACTCTGTATTGTTGATATGATGGTCAATGCTTATAGTAATTCACTTACATACGTCAATACAGATTGTTCGATGTTATTTTTTTGTTTTTATTCTCCTGGGCTCGTCTGACTATGTCTCCGAATAATTCTGAATCCTATTGGCTTATTGTGTTTTACCCCATAGCACCCACTCTGTCACCTTTGTACCTTGTACAAGTTTGTATTGCAAGTTCGTCAGCCCTTATTTTTTTCCGAAGGATCGCCTTGCCATCATTAACGAGTTTCCGCTCTCCTTGTGTTTTTTTCTAGATACTGGTTCCAGGTAAGTCTCAAAAAAACCATCTCTTCACGCTCAGTTCAGGGGAAACACTGGAGTTGTAAAGTTTTAAAAGTCCAGCAAAGCTTAAAGTTGACAGGAGGTATAATCTTTGAGTTTTATTTCGAGAATAATGGCTTTCGGAAGCCCTTAATCTTGAAATAAATTGTATGACCTCTTGTCGTTTGTTTAGAAAACAAGTTTATTTTGTGATCTCCTCCATGATGTTCGCAAGGTACTTCCCCTAGTTTCACACACTTTGCTATTTTATTCATTCGACTTTGAGCATTACCAAAAATTAGCAATATTATTTTGAAAAGACCGACTTATTTCCAAAATTAATGCGTACTACTTTTCGTTACATTAAATATTATTTCAAAAAAGCTAACAAAACTCAAAAGTTAACACCAATTGGTTACACTTTATCGTTAAAAACGCCACAACTATAAATATAACACTTTTCTTGGTAAATTACAACACTTTTCGAGATGTGTCGTTTTTCGTGAAATAAGTCGATATTTTCCAAACGTTTTTAACTGAGTTGCGACGGTTTTTTTAGATAGGCGTCGAAACAAAATTTACCGATTGCGCCATCTCTTAGCATTAATTTAAAATACACTCATGACGCTTGTCCAGATAAAAATATATCGATTTTATAGCTGTTTTTGTTTCTTTTAACGCAAAAAGAATTTTGAATTGTGTCACTTTTCTCATAAATCACAGATTTGTTATTTTTGATATGTGTATGAAATAATGGTTCTTCTTTATAATAACTTAAATACAAATGAAATAACCTGTACACACATAGGTGCATTAAAATTTATTGCATTTTCTTAGAAAGTTTAATTGCCGATAACAAATAAATGTATATATGTAAATGGGCAGGAATTGTTGACAAAGTAATTATTATTATTATACGCAATACTTTTCTGGGTTCCCTTTATTGCTTCTAGATAATTTGATTACTGTATGCATACCACTAATATTAACAAATAAATATTTAATTGTGATTACAAATTATGCAAGAATTTTTTTTGCTTCAAAGCATTGTGTTAAAAATAAAGGTGGAACGGTAAATTATACGAATTTCAGACAGTTTTTAAATAATAAATATAGGGTTATTTACGGAATTTTACAAAAATCTCTATAATTCGGTAGGTACAAGTAATAATTGGTATTTTAAAAGATAATGTTAAATTTAAATACTATTTTCGGTCGCAAGGGTGACACAAACGTTAAATTATTTAAACCTTTTCTCTTTTTGACTTTAAGCAATCTTATAAATATGAGAAGAGCTAAATTTCTTCTAAGGTTAGCTTTAAGTATACGCAGTAACATAGTGAGATACATTAGTACTTAGACAAACAAAGAGAGAGAATAAACCCTTAGAAGTTTCGTGATTTTTATCTTTCATGCCCATATTGAAGACAGGATCGGCTTAAGATATAAATTTTAACTGTTATAATCAGTTAAAATATAAATATAGTTTTGTCATTTTGTATACCATGTTTTTTTATTTAACCGGTTGTATAATTTTGTTTATTTTTTGTTCCAGAATGAAGTAGCCGACGTTACCGGAAGTCCGCCGTCCAGGGCCGGACTACCCCAATACAAACGCGTCCGCCATGGGTTTAACCAGGCGCGTTTTACTTCTTTTATTAGCGGCCTTTTCCTACTACAGGATAAATGCTGAACAAGGTAAGTTATATATATTACATGATTCTCTTATAGTATTTTACGCATCAATTGTAGAAAAAAACAATTACACGCTAGTAGAAAAAGTTACCAACGAATCGATTATGTAACTGTTTACAACGCTAGTTAGATACTGTATTTTTTCTTCGAAATACCTGAAAGCGATAATATTTTATATAAAATTTATAAATTTATAAATTAAACCTTTGCCACTAATGTGATAATGTTAAAATGATCCTGCTTTCCCCTAATTTTTGATACATAACTCCATCCCGGATTTATATTTTTTCTTTTTTTTTTTTTTAATATGTTTGTTTTAACTTTTATACACAGTTAAAAAAAGCTAACTTTAAGCTAACTGATATGCTGCTAGATATTCTACAATGTCACACATTTCGTCAATATGTGAATGGAGGTTTCGTCTTCCTCCTCACAGAATTTGCACACACTATTTTCTACTATTCTAAGTTTACAATACTTGGTAATTATCCTTGAAAATTTTTCTTTCCCAGTACAGAAGTATCTTAGCTTTGTCTTAATCCAAATAGCTCGTTCTAAATTTATCGGTTTATTTCACTATAAACATAAAAGTAAACCAAATACATATCTTTATCGACTTTTTAATAACATTTTTGCATGCGTCAAAGTGACTGTAAACATTTTTCCACAAAACAAAAACGAAAAAAATTCCTTGCAATAAATAAATGACCCGGTCGGTCATTCGTTTTTTTTTTGGAGCTAACAAAGGCCGTAAATCTTTTATAGCCGTGACCGAGGTACTTTATGTGGAAGCTTAATCGCGTCAATCAACATACAATACAGTTTGTCCGGTTTTATTTATAAAGTCTTTGCCCTAATCAAAATTAGATTTATTGTTTTAATATTGTCTGTCTAAAGGGCTGATTTTGGGCGTTATTACTGAGACCCTTCCTTTGAAATTATTTTCAGCACCTCAACTATTAAAACCAAACAGCTAAAAATCGATTTATAAGCCAACTTAACTAACTATAATTGCAGCAATTTTAAATTTACTAATAATTGATTTAAATAAATTATTAATAATTGATATTAAACCCTTTTTATTTATTATATTTTGAGAAAATAAAAAAATGTTGTAGATTAATGAAACTGTTCAATTATTTATTAAAAATAATAATATTTAATTTAATAAGTAAATCAAATAATTCAAATAATATTATTGGAGTTTTGTAATGTTAATGGGGTTGATTGGGTAAAAAATATAACTTGTATTTAAATAAAAAAAAAATAAAAGAGATTTTATTTCCAAACACATGTTTAACTAAAAAATATATTAAAAATTAAAACTGACTAAAATTATTAAGTATTAATTTAAAAAGAAAATGTTTCAATAAATTTATTTTGTGAAAATGTAGGTAAATGAATTTAAAAACGTCTATATTTCTAAATCACTTTCACAGTCACTAATTTCATGTTCTGAAATAATATCACTATTATCATCATCAGTATCATCCAAATTTATTTCAATTTTTTTGAATTGTATAGTTAAATCTCATATGATTACGTGAAAATTCTATATAGTACTTTACCTAGTTATTTTGTTACGATTAAACATATGTTTATGGTTTCAAAAACAATTAATTTTCAGTTCTAGGTCAATTGAATCACACATATACGATATAAAATGAACTAACTACCTAACGAAACTAAACTCCAGTGTACCTACTTCGAACATAATGATTTTTCCATAAAAACAAGTCTGCTAAAATCAATTTACTTACCATATGAAACTAACGTAATGAATACCTTAGCCTGTAATAGAGCTAACTGTTCAACTCAACACAACATAGAATCGTTTATTAAAATATATATTTGGTATACAGAATCCAGTGTGTGTGATAAATGGAAGTTTAAAATTGATTTCGAAACAGCATGAACTTCTGAGCTTGGCCGCATAGCCGTGCGCCAAGGGAGAGGCTAATTATTTTCCTCCCCCACTCGCTATACCAATATGTTGGGTTGTAAGTATCGTCATTGTTTTTAGTCAAAAATTAGGGAGATATAACTTGTTTAAATTTTGATCTGTCAAATAATGGATTTTTACTAGATCCAGGTCATCTATACAACTGAATAATTTTGGTTTAGTATTCTACAGTAGCGGCTCGTATCCAAAATATTGGGGTTCATAATGACAGAATATAATAATAATAAACTTTATTGCCCAACAGAACATATAACAAAAATTGGTCTAGTCTTAGCGCCGAGAACGAATTTTCCTAGCCTAATAGGTTTTATATCGGAATCAATAGCATTCTTAGGTAACACGTGACCTAAGATATTACGGACCACTTGATTATCAGATTCAATTCGTTCCTGAGCATTTCGTTCTTGGGATTCTGGGACATTAAACAGAAGTAGATTACGCTGCCGTTTTTGTCTTTCGTATATTTATTAACGATATTATTAAGTGTCATGCCTTCAATATTATAGTCTATTTTTATGTATGAGAGAGTAATAAAACAGCATTTCTAATACAAAACTTAGTACGGTCATTTTAAATATTTTTACAGAATAATCTAAATATTTCCTAAAATTGTAATAAATGTACCTGAGCTATTACAAGTTTTGAGTCTTTTATTGGTCCTTTATAAACATAAGCTGTACAGAACAATAGAAAAAGGTTTGGACAGGCCAAAAGCCCTGTGTATTAAAGATTACATTACATAACCGTATCTTAAGATTATTTTCAATAAGTACCTATTTGCCAATTTTGTTTTATTTTAATTCCAAGAATTTCTTACAGTAATCGAATTATAAGTAGATAAATACCTTCCCAACAAATTTCACCGAAAATGCGATTATAAATAAGTTTTCCATTTAGTAAGGAGGTCCAAGTTGTGTATTCTTGACAGTTTACTAAATGTCGTTTAGTTGCAACTTGCAAGGTGCAGTGTGAATTCTAGTGTGATCATGGAAAATTTGGATGGGCCGCGTAAACGACAAAAAGTCGATCCTTTAACAGTTAATGAAAAAACATTAATATTTAATTGTTTTAAATCATTTACAGACAAACATTTATGTAAAAGTGTTGATGACACAGTGGAATTAGTTAGTAGTACGCTTGGTGTTGGGAAATCTACGATTTACAGAGTTGTTAAAGAAGAGAAATGTGGCGAGTTTCAAACAGGACGTAAAGCTCCAGGAAAACCAAAATTTCAATTAGAAAATCTTTTGAAAGAAAGACTTCGAAGGAAAGTGCATGCGTTCTTCTTTAGAAAAGAATTTCCGATAGTAGACAAAGTTCTTGCCACGGTTCGAGATGATAAGGATTACCCTGAAATGAGTCGAAGCACACTATGGAAACTTTTAAAAGAAATAGGTTTTCTATGGAAAAAGCATTCCAGAAAGTCTATTTTTATAGAAAGAAGCGATATTGTAGTATGGAGAAGAAATTACCTAAGGACTATAAAGGAAATGAGAAACCAAAGAAGAAATATATTTTATTTAGATGAAACATGGATCAACGAGGGACATAAACCAAATACATTTTGGCAAGATGAAACTGTTACAAGTCGAAGACAGGCTTTTTTAAATAATTTATCTACTGGTTTAAATCCACCATCAGGAAAGGGGCGCAGACTAATAATAGTACACATCGGTAGTTCAAATGGTTTTGTTAAAGGTGGTTTATTGACTTTTGAATCTACTCGTACCGGTGACTACCATGAGGACATGAATGCTGATGTCTTTAAAGAGTGGTTCGAACAAATTATAGATCTTCTTCCTCAGAACTGTATAATAGTAATGGATAATGTAAGTTATCACTCGAGACTTATAGAAAAAATGTCCACAACCAAGTGGTTAAAAAAAGATTTACAGAATTGGCTAAATTCAAAGAATATTAAGTTCCATCCCGGTTCTGTGAGAAAAGAACTGTATCATTTGTGTTCCCTTCATAAAGAGAAATTAAAAAAATATGAAATTGATGAAATTGCAAAAAATCGTGGGATGACGGTGGTTAGATCACCACCATATCATTGCGAAGTAAACCCGATTGAACTGATATAGGCACAGATAAAGGGAGATGTTTCAAGAAAAAATAATTCTTTTAAAATGAGTGATGTTAAACAGTTGTTTTTGGAGGCTGTAAATAATGTGAAGCCTGAAAACTGGGAAAAGGCAGTAAATCATACGATTAAAGAAGACGAGAAAATGTGAAAGTTGGACAATATTACTGATGAAATGATCGAGCCACTCATTGTAAATATTGGTTGCGACAGTTCATCTTCTGATTTCGATTCTGATTTGGATTTGTAGGTAAGAAGTAGTTTTTATATTAAAATTATTATTTATGAACGTAACGTTGTTTAAAGGTCAAAGTTTAAACCCTTATACCTACATAACCCGTTTGACACAATGTTTTCAACATACCTTGTGGAAAAATAAAACATTTTAGAAAAAATTGCACTTTTTTACCTTCAGCTGTTTAGAAGTTATAAGCAGGTTAATTAGATGAAAATATAAGTGTATACTCGAGGAATAACTTCAAAAAATATTTTAACTGTCTACTAAAAGAAGTGGTACGCCTATGGATTACGAACGTTTTAATATTTTAATACTCTCTCATACATAAAAATGGACTTATAGAAGGTGCAACAGTGTGTGTGGTTTCTTCAATAACTGAACGTAATTCATTTATTTTGGCATTAACAACCAAACAATTGGAATATAGATGTCAGTACAGATTTAAATAAAGAAAATTCAGTGAGAAAGTTGTATTATCTAAATCTGTATTGAGATCTATATTGTCATTGTAAACCCACAATATTTTTGTCTTGATCTTCCACTGATGTTCCAGTATTTAACTGTTTTTCTGTGATTTTGAACGTTTATTACTCTAATTAAAACACTTGACAATAGACAGTTTGAATAAAAATTGAATAATTGGCAACAATTAGTCTACTTACTTTTTAATAAATATATTTTCTGGTCATTGCTTGATATTTTAAGAAGCTGATGTAGTT